AGAGAAGATGGTTAAAATCACAAAAAAAAATATAAAAGGAAGATGGATACAGCTGTAGCGCGACGGCTGTAGCGCTACAAGTCTGAACGCTGCCTAAGGGTTCCGCGCATCAGCGTGCACGACATTCTATCCCTTGCAGAGCTATTAAGCTTGATATGAGATCTTCGACCTAACATGACCACTTCATCGTGATTGGAATTCGAGTATTCGACAATAGGAGATGTATGCTCAGAAGTTACTGTAGTTCTGACTTTTTATTTTCCAAGTAAAAAAGCACTACGTTTCGAAGACGTCCTCGTTTATGGTTGAGCCTACACTTCTTCACTCCCTGTAGTTTAAAGTGAACTGCATTCATCCAAACTGCAACGCCTGCCCCCCCCCCCCCTCCAACCACGCTCTTCCCCTTCTCTAACATTCTCACATTTTTCGTTATTTTTTATTGGGATTCGATGTTTCGGATGATAGCTCATGACTTTCAGCTCGGATTTCATTCTTACCTTTCCTTTTTGTAGCCTCCCATTTGATCACAAACAAATTTTTAGCAAAGAATGGGATGGAAAGAATGAAGACGTTTTAAAATTCCTGGCTACTACCGTACGAATACTAAATACTAATGGAAAGGAAAGCTGAAACGAAAGCTGGTTCCACTTACGTCTACATTGCATACAATATCTCTTGACTTTATCCAGCACTGCAATTCCTTCCTTCATTTCAATGGCATGGATATTACTGCAGGGAAGTCGAGGCGACTGACTAGTATCAGAGGTGAATCGGCACTGTTTTAATCCGACGTCGAAATAGGCAACCTGGAACAGCCATGAAATAGAACTCATTAATTCCTCCAGAATGATTTCCAAACAAATTCTGTCAAGAGGACAGGAGAGTGCGATGGCTGGCAAAGGAATCACTTTTTCGATTTCCCGGAATATTGCTTTATCGACATCTGTTAGGCCAAACAACGACTCGATGAATCGCGTATCATGATAATTTTCAAATGGAAAGGGTTTGAAGGATAGCATCATGTCATCATGCTACTCGATTATTTTTTTGCCAGGGCACATCATTGGCTAAGGATTACGGCCCCGCCCCTTTTTGGGGCTGATACGACCCCCCTCCGGCCCTCTGTCCCTCCTCATCGCAGGGCACATCATTGGTTGGGGATTTTGGTCGAGTCCGTAGGACCCCTCCCATTTTTTGGGGTTGGTACGTCCCCCCCCCCCTCCGGCCCTCTGTCCCT